ATACAATTACATGTGTGTCTGGGGAGTGGAACGAATCTAACTCCAAGACCCATGATTTTTAAACGACAACAGCTGTTTCTAAATTGTGTTTAGAGGGTTCCCTATAAACTGCCACAGGGCAGGAGCCCAGCAGTCTGGGTTTCCCCTGTTCCCACACACTTTGGCTAAAATAGCCACACATATGTCTGTTTTGTATACTGGAGTTTCATGAGTTAAAAATAAGTTTGAAAAGAACCGCATTATGTTATGCTACCCTGCTTGTCTCTTGGACTTTCTAAGAATCAAGAAAGGCTTCTTAATCTAATGCCACCCCAGGGCCCAGCAGAAAGGAATTGTCTTCAATGAGAAAAGACTGTGCAGTGGGCCAATTTCCTGGCACATTCACCAAGTTAAACTTTCCTTACCCTGGTTACATCCTTTGTTCCTTTTCAATTCTTCACTGTTCACAGGGCTTCCCCCACCCCTTCTCCCTGCTGTGAAGGAGAGGGGGAGGAAGGCAGGTTTCTGCAGGGCAGGTGCCGCTCCTCTCAGAACCCCCCCTAGCCCCACCTACCCACTGAGTCAGGAGCCAGGAATGTCTGTGGGGGCAGCAGACAGGTATGTCACCCTGGGGGTGTCAGAGGCTGATTCATCTCTCATCTCCACCCAATCTTCTCCTTACTGCTCTCTGGGAAATTTAACTCATTATCTGTCTAGAGATAAAAGAGGAAATCTTAGACTCTGAAAAGCATGGAGTCTTCAGTCTGTGGCTAGGTATAATATTTAATACATCAGATTATGTCATGCCATGAGTATTTGTTAAAAGAGAAGGAAGACACATCCCCCACCCCCCTTTCTTCCCCCAAATAAAGTTAACCTGAAATATCCTTGTCTCACTGTAGAGGGGCCTGATAGGTAGCTCAGAATACGCTATGTGACCATGGGTAGGACTTAATTTTTGGGAGAGGGGAGCCTAGGTGGCTCGGTTGGTTAAGCATCTGCCTTGGGCTTGGGTCATGATCTTGGGGTGGGGGGTGGTCCCTGCTCAGCAAAGAGTCTGTTTCTCCCTCTCCCTCTGCCCCTCCCTCTGCTCGTGCTCTCTCTCTCTGTCTCAAGTAAATAAATAAAATCTTAAAAAAAGAAAGAAAGAAAGAAAGAAAGAAAGAAAGAAAGAAAGAAAGAAAGAAAGAAAGAAAGAAAGAAAGAAAGAGGGATCCCTGGGTGGCTCAGCGGTTTATCGCCTGCCTTTGGCCCAGGGCGTGATCCTGGGGTCCCAGGATATAGTCCCACATCAGGCTCCCTGCATGGAGCCTGCTTCTCGCTTTGCCTGTGTCTCTGCCTCTCTCTGTCTCTCATGAATAAATAAAATCTTAAAAAAAAAAAAAAAAAAAGAAATCTTACCTATGTTCCAGTATTCCTTCTCTGCTGTTTTTATCATTCCATGAGGACTGTGAAGACTTCAGTATTAATGTACAGGAAGAGGTGGCAATCCAGGGTGAAGGGGAGCACTAGGGAACATTTCTTAATGCAGTATTTGCACAGCAAGCAGATACTCACTCCCCTCCCCACCTACTCCAATGTCCAATGTCCCGCACGTTTTTGGGAAAATCTAATTTCAGATTTTTTTTTTTTAAGATTTTATTTATTTATTCATGGAGACAGAAAGAGAGAGGCAGAAACACAGGCAGAGGGAGAAGCAGGCTCCACGCAGGGAGCCTGACGTGGGACTCGATCCCTAGTCTCCAGGATCACGCCTGGGCTGAAGGCGGCACTAAACCGTTGAGCCACCTGGGCTGCCCTAATTTCAGATTCTTGCAACAAGATAGTTGCAGATTTATTTGGGATGGCTTTGAAGGGGCCTCTCATTTCCTTCAACTGCTTCAAGGTATTGGATGGGGAAAAAAATTAAAACTTCGCTATGTATTCTGGTCCAGAGGACTTTTTTTTTTTTAAAGATTTATTTATTTAGTTATGATAGACACAGAGAGAGAGAGAGAGAGAGAGAGAAGCAGAGACACAGGCAGAGGGAGAAGCAGGCTCCATGCCGGGAGCCCAACGTGGGACTCGATCCCAGGACTCCAGGATCAGGCCCCGGGCCAAAGGCAGGTGCCAAACCGCTGAGCCACCCAGGGATCCCCCAGAGGACTTTACCAATACTTTTTCTCACCTCATATGGGTTCCAAGTCCCCAGTCCATCCCCCCCATAGCTCCTCAGTCTTAGGCCACCTGGACATCTGGGGCTGTCTGAAGTTGGATTCTTGGCTGGAAATGAAGGACACAATGGGTTGGAAATGAGTATGGTTTTCCCCTAACCTCAGCAGGTCTGATGCCATCGAAGTGTGCGCTAATCCAGGACTCTTCCTCCTAAAGGCTAGGTGAGGCCTCAACAGCCAGGGATGAGGGAGAAGAAAAGAAAAGGGAAAAGAGTAGGGGGGCTACTCAGCTTGCTAGAGAATTTCCTTCCAGGATTCTGGGTAGTTGGGCCTCCATATTGCTTTCAAAAACAGGATGGATCTTGGTAGTGCTGGGATGGGTCTGCCATCACTCAGGAGCCCTGGGAAAAGAGAGAGAATCTCTGAGACAGACCTTCCCAAAGACTCTAATGGGATCAGGCTTCCTTTCTCAGCCAACTGTGGATGAGCATTTTGCTAATTCAGAAACAGCTGAGAGCAGACTGGCTGTGCTTCAGCTCTACGGGTTTTAGGTCGTCACACTCACTCCTAAGCCTCTTTGTCTGGGCTGGAAGCCTTTCCAATTAGCTGTGGCCTCTGATAAGTTCCAAACAGTATCTTCCAATTTTGGGGGGAATCCCCACTTCAGAGCCAGTAAATGCATATATCTTAATGTCAGTGGTTAGCAGAGATGACCCATAAGGTCCCTTCTAAGGCATTCTGAGATAGTTTCCGTTTCCTCCCTCCAGAAGTTGTTCATGATTGCCAAGTGAGGTCTGGAAGTGAGAAGAGTGCTTTCAGACGGTGCCTGGGAAATGCAAAGTGCCACTTTTCTGGAAAGCATTTTTTGGCAATATGAATCCAGAACCTGGGAGACATCAGCTGTTTCATTTTTGGACTTAATCATAAGTTAAAAATCAGAGACTCAAGACAAAGATTTGAGTATAAAGATGTAATCACAGCCCTATTAACAATAGCAAAAAACTGGTAATGACTCGGATGACCACGGGAGTCTGGACAGGTGAACAATGTCATAGCCTTACCATGGAATATTATCATGTAGACACTAAAAAAGTCTTTATGTTTTTAATTGCATGAAATAGTGTTAACTAAAAAAAAAAAGGTTACAAAGCAAGTATAACATATTCCACTCATACAAATGCTATAGCTATCCTTCTGAATGTACAGAAAAATAAGCCCAAAAACCAAAATGTATTTATACATTTGAATAGAAAATTTATTGTAGATTACAAATATTTTTGCTTATTGATATGTTACAGGATTATAGGTGACCTATTTTCATTTTCCAAGTTTTTTACTTTTCTATCAGGAAAGAAAAAAAAATCTCAAGAATGGTTGCCGCATGCCAGTCAAATCAGAGGATGGTCTTTTTCATACTCCACAGGTTTCATGCCAAACAGATCGACCTAGGTGTCTCTTCTTTTCTTCATCGTGCTGTCCCCTCCCCACCATGGCAAGGGAACAGAAATCATTTTGCCATCAGTAGAAGGTGAACAGAGCTCCATTTACTGGAGTAGAAAACACCCTTATTGTCAAACCAAGGCCTGAAAAATTAAGGTTTGGATGACTTCCAACTTTCCTCACTCCATGACTGCAGAGAATACATGCTGACAGTGCTTGGATTTGAGGTCATCAAGTTCAAATGACACCTTCCTTCCAGCTGGTTTGCTCTGGTGAGAGCCAGGGTGATGGGGTAAACATCAGAAACCCAGACCAAAGCTATTGGTACTATATTCAAAAACAGCACCCACCCTCACACTCTACCTGATGAGGGATTTGTCCAGCGACCTGGGCGTCAGGATTCTTGGGCTCAGGCCCCACCAGTGACTCACAGCCATCCCTAGGCTGGCTGTGCCTCCTGGCCTCAGTTTCCCTGGCTTGCTCTGTTGATACTCCCCACCTACTGTAGGGTACTAATAGGGGTGTGGTGCTTTGAACTTCTCAGATGAAAGAAGCTGGGGAAGCAGCACCTGGTTATTATCCCCTATAGGGCCAGGCGTGGGAGTGGAGGTTGGCTGCTTTCATACTTATCCAGTTGGAGGAGCCTCCTCATAGCCCCCCTACTTTTGCCTTCTGCTCTGACTCCCCCAGTTGGGAAGAAAAGCTCAGTCATCCCCCTCTCAATGCCACTTGTGAACAGATTTTCCTAAGTGGAATTCTTCAACTGCCCAAACCACCCGTGACCTATCTTGCCTTTATGATTCAGTAATACTCTATAGGTGTTTAAATTCTTTCTCCTGATTGGCTATAGATCCTGTGGGAGAAGGGATGTGACTTTTCACCATTAAGAACTCACAATTAAGAAGTCAGCAAAGCGAACAATGAGATGTCAGGCTGACCAAAGTTCAAACCCATCTGTTTCCTCACTGTAAAATGGGGCTTCATAATATCCTGATTTGTCTAAATCTCCAGGAGTTGCTGTGAGAGCCACATGAGAACCATGTGTGTGGAAGCACTTTGTAAAATGCCAAGCCCTTCCTGTGTGTTAACAGGACCAACTGTCTGCAAATAAGACTTCTGGCACAACTGCCATCTGTCCCCTGCTGCCTCCAGGCTGTGACTGCAAGCAAGCAAGCAAGCAGTAAATAAATAAATAAATAAATAAATAAATAAATAAATAAATAAATAAATAAATAAATAAATAAATAAATAAAATTAAAAGGCCTGGGATGCCACCTATTGGTTGAAAACGTGAATTGCACCCAACCACTTGCAAGAAGAGCAAAAGTAACCACTATTCCAACTTCAAGCCCTTAGTGTTTGCCACATTCCTCAGGACGTCACGTTATGTACTTAATATTTTTCTTTAAATAACTCACTTCTTATAAGCAATTTCAAAGTAAACTTTTAATCACTCGTATAAATGGAAAACTGGTTAACACTTCCCAAAAAGGAACAAAACCATAAAATAAATACCATGAAAATAAGATCTGCTAGGAAGTGTTGCCTGTGAAAGCTCAAGCTTGAGTCTAGGCTAAAACCGAAAATTAACAAAGTCGCGCACCTGGAGACTGGGTGTCAGTCCTCTAGCACAATCCTGTGCTTTGGGGGGAAACACTGCCCTGTATAAACAAACAGAATTCTTCTGAGAAAAGCAACATTCTTTTGTTCTGCCTCAACTCTCTGGGCCTGGATGGTTGAAGAAAGTTTAGAAGTCACAAAAAGTAGAAAATAAACTCTTGTATTTGTAGCATATTCCTTCATAGCCCAAGTGGGGCCAATGCTGAATTCCTGGCCACACATCCAGAGCTCTTGACCACGAAGGGGGTGGTGGGTGCTCTAGTTGGGAAGGCTGCTCTTGGATCTGCAGTTGGCTGAGCTGTCCTGTCAGTGGGAACTGCCATTGTCTCCAATGCTGGGTTAAGCCTCTCATTCTCTAGAGCCCAGCTTGCTGCTACAGCTGCATGGCTTCCTGCTCCACGGACTGGTCTGGGGGTGCCAGGTACTTCTCCTGGATGCCCAAGGTACTGAGGGAGAGCGTGTCAAGGTTGGTAACAGAGGGAAGGATGGGAACTAATCTGGGCAGGATCTGACCTCTACTGATGCTGGCTCTCCAGCCATGTCTGGCAGATTGCTCTCATTCCTCTCCCTTTCTCACCATTATAGCTCCACACAACAGGAATTAATTGGGTCTGAGAAGCCCCTCAAAACATCCAGGCCCAAATGCTCCTATATTTGTCTTTTCCTCATATTGCTGAGAATCAAAGGACCAGAGAGCACTAACCTTGTGGCTGTGTTAGGGCACATGCTCCAGAGCCAGACCACTGGGGGTTTATTTAATTTACTTATTTTTAAAAAGATTTTATTAATTTATTTGACAAAGAAAGAGAGAGAGAGAGACCGTGAGTGTGAGCACCTATGCACAAGCACGGGGAGCAGCAGAGAGAGAGGGAGAAGCAGGCTCCTTATTGAACAGGAAGCCTGATGTGGGACTTGATCCCAGGACCTTGGAATCATGATCTAAGCAGAAGGCAGACACCCAGCTGACTGAGCTACCCAGGGGCCCCCACTTTGGGGTTTAAATCCTGATTTTACCACTTCCTTTCTTCTCATCTGTAAAATGGAGCTGTTGTGAGGATCAAATGAGACAACAAATATAAAATGCCTAGTATGGCACCTGGCATACAGCAGGTGCTCAGTTAAGTGTCTGACTTCTCTTCTGCCATGGGAAGGAATTCAGGGGAACTCAAAGATAGCAATGAATTTCCTCTTGGGCTATTGGGTGCCGTCTTCCTCTCTGTGGGACAGCAGGAAAGTGAAGCAGGAAGGATACAAATCAGATTCACAGAGGAAAAGACTGTGATACTCCTGAGGGAGCCCTGTGAGGCTGGCTGCCTGAGGTCGGGGTGTGCGTCTGAGAAGGAGATGGCAGTTGACCATGGTAGGTTGGCCACCATGGCTTTTCTACTAGATGACTCCAGTCTCAGAAACTAAAGTTCTACAACCAGGGAGACTGGGATTTGACCCGTTCTTCCAACACATCCAGGGAGAAGCCTTGCACCTGTCACTCTCAGAGCCCCAACTGCCTCATCTATAAAAAGGGATTGAATGAGGTTTAAATGTGATCCTGCAAGCAGAGTATGTAGCCCACCAAATGATGTCAGCTTACAGACCTTCTTCTCCATCTCTTACACATCTCTCCACCCAAATTCATCTCACCTCTACTCAAACTGACTTTGAACCTGTGCCCCTTCCCCTTCACTTTTCCTCAGGAGGTAATGCCTTGTTCCTGTGCTAGTCGACCCTGAGGATCACTCAGAATGACTGGAAACCACCTTGCTTGACATGTAATTATCTCAAACTTGCCTCGTCTCCAACCTGAGCCCACATTCCTGAGCAGGGCACACAAAACCTTGCATTCTATCTGACCATCTGTCTGGCTCTGCCACTGCTCCCACTCAGAGCCCTGTCCTGCCCACAAGTCATGCTATTTTACTTGCAAACCCCCAGACATACCTCAACTTTGAACCGCCACGTCTTTGTATATACTGTTCTCTCTGCCTTGAATTCTCTTTCCCTTTTAATCAGCCTGGTTAATCCTTACTTTAAGATAATACAACTCGGGCACCTGAGTGGCTCAGTTGATTAAGTGTCTGCCTTGGGGTCAGGTCACAATCCTAGGGTCTTGGGATCAAGCTCTACACCAGACTCCTTGCTCAGCACGGAGTCTGCTTCTCCTTCCTCCTCTACCCTTCCTGCTACTCATGTTCTCTCTCTCTCTCTCTGAAATAAATAAAACAGGGACACCCGGGTAGCTCAGTGGTTTAGCATCTGCCTTTAGCTCAGGGCGTGATCCTGGGGTCCCGGGATCAAGCCCCACATCAGGCTCCCTGCAATGAAGCCTGCTTCTCCCTCTGCCTGTGACTCTGCCTCTTTCTCTCTCTCTGTGTCCCGAATGAATGAATGAATGAATGAATGAATAAATAAATATCTTAAAAAAAAAAAAAAAAACGTAATGCAACTCAAGTGCCACCACCTCCATGAAGCTTTCTTTACCCACCCACTCCTTGGCAGAGCTGACTTTCCCCTTCTTTATGCCAATCCTTAATTATCTTATACACAGACTAAAGTTGAACCTTAAGAAGATTAGGGGAGGGGACAGAATGTAAAACCAGCACAAAAGTGTATGGTTAAAAGTACCCTTGAAAATTCCTTCAATCATCTATTAAAAAGTATACAGTTTCATATGTAGAATCTTGCATAATAACACGTACGAATGCATAAAGTAATGCACAGTGTGCGAAAAATCAGAGCGCTGCTGGAACGGCCCCTTCCCTTTTGCGCTGAGCACATGCAGTCGAATGTGCTGCCAATAACCGCAGGTGTGAGGTAGCAACTCAACCCCTTCAGGGAGCACTGGGCACTCTGCTGCCACCATTTCTAACCTGTTTCCCTGGGAGCTCTGTTTCACATGTGAAACGGCCTGACACAGATCTGTAAGTACTGGCTGGAACTCTCTTCCTCCATACCCAGGACTCTGGAGCCCCCCTTGCCTCCAGTGTGCTGAAGGCAAATATCTGAAACTATCCTATGGGCCTGGATTTCCCTGTCCTGCCTCACATGTGGTCTACACAGGACCTTAGCTCCACCCCAACGGTCACTAATCCAGCTCTGGTCTGAAGGTCCAGCCGCCTCCCAGACAGCTCTGGCTGTCCCGTAGTCCCCTCAAATACAGCACATTTGCTAGGGCCCATACCTTCCACTCATATGACAAACCTGCCCTCTCCTCTTCCTTTTCTTGCCACCCCATACTGCTGTATTAGCCAGAAACCTGGCAGTCTAACTTCTGCTCTACTTCCATTTATCCTATAACCATCTGGTTGCTAACTCCGGTAATCCATCTCCTTTCATCCAGTTCACACCCTTCTTCCTGTTCTTACTGTTTCATCTCTTCTCATCTGCAGACTGTAAACACTCTCCTGCCCCCACTTGCATCCCTTAAATGCAATTTCTGCACTTGAAGGGACTTTTAAAAAAATGTACACCTGATCGTGTCACACTCCACACAACCTTACTATGCTGGCTCACCCTACCCCCCCCATGAGCTGAAGTCCACACTCTTCCGCAGGGCACACGAGGCCCCTGCAAGCCCGCTACTGCCCCTGAACCTGTACATCCCTCTTACCTTTTCACAGTCAGGACACCAAGCAAACCAACCCCCTTGCATCTCTCCCAAATGACCAAGGCCCTTTCATTTCTCAGCATCTGTATTTGCTGCTCCTTCTTTACCTGAGGACAAAGTCTATCCTCTGTCCTCAGGTACAATCAATGCTGAATCCTTCTAAGGGACCAGCCTCTGCACCTGAGAGACAGTCACCAGGGAGCCCAACTAGTCAACATGAAGTCAGTCACCTACAAGGGTAGATGTGGCCATCCCTGAGCCCCATGTCTCCCCTTGGCTATAGCCAAGAGGCTAGACAGCAAGGATACGAGGAGAAATGGAAGTCAGCACCCATGGCGGCAGACATCATGGCCTCCAGGCTTCGCTGTTCTTGGATCCCGAAGCAGTAGCCGTTGGCTTTATCCACAGCCTGCAGGACCCGCTGGATACTCTCCTTGTCCTGGGCAGGGAGGAGACAGACAGCTTTGAGTGAAACAAAGGTGTGTGGAACTGATGTACCAAATCACCTGTAGTCTCCAAACACCCCCCTCAACCTTGCCTCATGAAGCCTCTGCACATGCAGCTTCTGTGTCTGGAATGGTTCTACACATCCTTAGAGGCCTGGCTACATCCTGTCTTTCCTGTCCACCAACCCACTCAAATCAGAACAGATAAGCTCCTCTATGCACACCCACAGTCTCCTGGATCTCTCCTATTACAGCTCTGATCCTACCATCTTATTACTGACAAATTATTAACTCATCTAGCTCCCCTATTTGACTTTGTACCCCATGAGGCCAGGGACTTATTTGTCGAGGTAATCCTCAGTGCCTAGCACAGTACTTAGTCTACTTAATGGTAGACTCCCAATAAATATGTATATAACCTATTTGCTATTCCAGAATAGTGATAAGAACAGTCCATACACCACATGATGGGAAGGAAAGATCAAAATAATGCATGTACAAGTCCTTAGCACAATGCCTAGTGCAGAAAGTGCTCAAGAAGTGATAGTTGTTATGATTAATATTGTAGGGTTCACTTTCTCATTTTAGAGGAGAAAACTGTGGCATTAAACAGGGAAGAGACAAGTTTGCTCAAGTCCACACACATTGGTTGGGTACTACTTTGCAAAGTCAAATAGGCAGTTGCCCATCCTGAAGGAGGCTGACAGACTTTGGCCTTGAGGATGACTTTCTGAAATCATCCATTTTCACACTGATGAGGGAACATGCATAGAGAACCCAGCAAAACAGAATAGATAGGGCCGAAGTTTGGCTCACTCTCTTTACTGGAACCCTCCCCCATGAGAGCCACTGGTCCTAAAACCAAGGGGTGCTGAATGATAGTTGGACCCAGGACAAAGACCCACTGTTTGACCCCTCAAAGTCTCCTGTACCCTTGGCTTGGTGAGATCCCAGGCACTGTCAGAGCCTAGGCTAGGCATGGGGAAGAGGCCTCTTAGTCCCAAGTACCTGAATGTTGAGAGGGATGAAGGAGACCAGACTATAGTCTTCAATGAGCTGCACCAGTTTCTCATTGAGCTGTCGGTAGTGGCGGAAGAAAGGGTCAGAAGCCAGGTGGTCGAGAAGGTAGGAGAGGTCCAGGACCTCTGTGTAGTAGTCCAGGTTGAAGGCTAAGGAGAGAAATTGGTGTTCAGGAGCAGCTGACATCAGGCTAAAAGATCCAAGGACAGGGATCATATTCCCTTTCTTCCTTCCTTTTGTCTTCATTTACTCATTCATTCTTTCATTCATTCATTCATTCAGCAAGTATTTGCTGACACAGTGAAATGTACTTACTCAAAAGAAAATACCTGGTTTTATCCATTGGCTCTGCCATTTCCTAGCTAGATGGGCCTGCCGTGCGGATTAAATGCTCCAAGTCCCAGTGTCTAGTACACACAAGCACTTGCTGAATGGTAATAAATAACAAGATGGAATGTGTCCCAAGAACAGTGCTTGGTCCCTACCACACAGAGCTCACAGCCAGGTAGTTGTACCCCAGGACCTGTAAGGCCCCTAATAGGGTGCCTCTTGTGTAAATCACTTTCCCTTTTTGGGCCAGTTCCTTCTGAATGTAAAATGAGGATACCAGACCAGAGGACTCAGAGTTCTATGAATGCAAACTTCCTCTAAGAGAAGGAAAGCGGGCCTTTCAGTCATTGCCCATTTCTGCCAGAAAACTCGAGTCTTGGGCTACTCAACTGATCTGTCCCAAAGTGAGCGAAGGCAATCAGTCTGCTGGATTGATGCACTCCCTACACCCAATGTAAGGCTCAAACTCACAACCCCAGGATCAAGAGTGACATACTCCTCCAACTGAGCCAGCCAGGCACCCCTCTGCCTCCCGTATTTTTTTTTTTGCCTCCTGTATTTTAATCAGAAATGGTCACCCCTCTGCCTGCAAGGAATAATGTCCTGGGCATTCCAACAAACTTTTTGGATTGCCTGACAGGTACATTCTTCTCCAAGAATGAAGCAGTTGGAGCCAGGTGCACCTGGGCTTAGATTTCATGTCAGCTAACATGCTAGCTGTGTGACTGACCTTGGGTTATCCATGTAATGTCTCTGGGCCTCAACGGCCTCATGTGGTTTGCACATCAGTCTTTTATAAGGATGACTGGCTGGAGTCAGAGCTAAAAAGGTCAAGGACCACCATGCAGCCATCTGAGCTGGAGTCTGTGAAGGTGGGTGGGGATAGGGGCTTGAGAAGACTGCACATCTGGGCAAAGATAAAATGGGGTTTCTTGCAGCCCGGGTGGCTCAGCGGTTTAGCGCCGCCTTCAGCACAGGGCCCAATCTTGGAGACCCAGGATTGAGTCTCACGTTGGGCTCTCTGTATGGAGCCTGCTTCTCCTTCTGCCTGTGTCTCTGCCTCTCTCTCTCTCTCTGTGTGTGTGTCTCTCATGAATAAATAAATAAAATGTTAAAAAAGGGGGGGGGGGGGCTTCTGGGCTTACCAAGAGATGGGCCAGGACTCCGGGCTGAGGCAGGCCCTCCAGGGTGCTGACATCCCTCCAGGTCCAGACAGGCAGCCAGTAGGCTTCCCTGGACAATGGCTTGACATCGTGATTCTAACAACTCTTTTTCCTGTTCACTGCCAGTCATTTCAGGTTTTCTTCCCCAGGCTTCTTTGTGGCTGGAGATGCTATCTAGGGAACTGATGCCCTGGCTAGGCACACTAATTTTGCTGGGAAAAAAGTGCTGGCCATGAGGCCCTTAAGCAACTCCCCTGCCTCCTGCTTCTCCCTCAATCTTTCCCACCCTGACAAAGGGACCTCTATCTGTCCACTGGCTCAAACAGAAACCTGAGAGTCATCCTTAATTCCTTGGTCTCCGTGTTCAATCCACTAGCAAACCCTATTTCTTGAGTTTTGGATGGAACTACTTCTGTTTGGGTTGCTGTAAAAACCTTCTCAAGGATCTCTGTTTGCATTCTTGCACGTTTCAATTCACTCCCCACAAAATAGCCACGATGACATCTTAATTCATGCTATCTCCTTGCTTAATATTCATCGGTGGCTTTACCTGGTGCTTCCGCAGTACAGGTTCTGGCCCCTACCCACCCCTCTGACTTCATTTCCTACCACCCTTCCCCTGACTACTACCTCAGCTGCTCTCGGCTTCCCCTGCCCCCCTACTTTTTCCTTTTTCTCCTTAAACACAGAAAGTTCTTTCCCTAAGGAACTTTCTTCCTACTGATCACTTTGTCTGGAACACTTCTGCCTTGGCAGTCTCAGCTCAGGTAGCACTGCTCAATCCCAACCACTCACTTTGTTTTAATTCCTTTGCAGTACATACCACCAACTATATAGCTCTCTTGTCCCCAAAGCCCAGAACAGTATCTGGCACAGAGTGGCACAAAATAAACAGGCAGGGATTAGGACCTGCCTGTGGCTATGATCACCAAGCCGTGCGTGGTCCCTGGAGGCAGCTCCCTTTAGCTGAGATGTTTCACTCCCGACTCCTTGCCTGCCCAGAAGAGGAGCTCTCACCCAGCTTCCCATAGTGCTCGATGAGGTCCATCTTGGAGAGGACGTTGACATGGGGCAGCTCCACATGCAGCATGGTGGCCAGAGAGGTACACAGTACGGAAATGAACTTGGCCGGGTCTGTGCAGTAATGAGAATCCACCAGGTGGACAGCAGTCAGCTGGAAGGGGAGGGAAGAGATAGGGTGAGTGGGCCTGGGGAGGCAGGAAACATCAGAGCCTAAGTCTTTCCCAAGAGACTGGGGACTCCTGAGGACAGAGTGCAAGTCTTCCCCATTAGTTTCCTCCTGCTTCTGCTTCATTCTAGTAGTGACTCTCATTTCCTTCTGCCAGGTGAATAGAGCATTTTTCCTTACAAGATGCCTTGCACGGTGCCTCCCAGTGGGCAACTGGCTCAACTCTGATTGCATATGACTCTATGTCATTTACTTTTGCCCAGCAAGTCACAACAATCACCATACCACTTTCTACATAACCTTTTCCATATTTTCAATAATCCCAAATTGGGTACTAGCACATCCATTCTGCAGATGAGGAAACTGAGGTTCAGAGAGAGAAACTGAGTTACCCAGGACCACACAGCGAGTCAGTGGCAGAGCCTAAAATCGAACTCACACCAAACTCCAAAGCGACTCGGCCCGTACCTCGCTGTGTGACATGGGGGCGTGGCATCTGTCCTTCCTGTCTCAGTTCCTCCATCTGCAAAAGGAGCCTGCTGGACCCAAGACGCACCCTGAGGTCCCACTGTGCCATCTGGGAGAAGATGTTGCGCAGGGCGCCGTGGTGCGTGCAGAGCTCCACCTGGCCCGGACAGTCGAACAGGAAGTAGTGGCCGCGGAGGGGATCTAGCTTGGCACGCAGCCAGTCCAGGTTGGCCTCCAGGTACTCCATGCAGTAGAGCAGGCCGCCGTTGGGCCCCAGCCGCAGCGCGTCCATCACGTCGCCCAGGCCCACCAGCTCTCCCACGTCCACGGCGCACTCGTACGGCAGCCCCTCGTTGGCAGGGTCCAGGTTCACCACCGCCACGCGCCTGCCCAGCGCGCGCAGGAACTCACTCATGCCCAGGCAGTACGTGGTCTTGCCCGAGCCGGGGGGGCCAATGACCGCCTGCCCAAAGGCCGTGGTCGGGGCGGCTCCCGCCATGGGCGGCACGCGGGCACCTGCGCAGCAGGTAAGTTCGGCAGAGACACGAGCCGAGGGCGACAGGACCCCCGTCGTGCACCTCGTCGGAGGCCGGCGGCTTTGCCCGAGCGTCCCCAGAAGAAGCGCAGGTAACCGGGCGGTGCAAAGGGGCCGAATGGCCCGGTGCTCACCGGATCAGCACCCGACTTCCGGACGACGTCGGAAACGGCGACTGCCCGAGAGGAAGTCCCGCCCCCACGGTGATGGCGCAACTTGGCGTCGAGGGGCGTGGCCACGCGGAGCGTTTCTACCCGCTCGGCGAACGGCCGTGGGGTGGGGGACCCTAACCCAGCTTTTCCCGACCTTCCCCCGGCCCAAATTACAAGATAAAAAGAGAGATCGGCGGTAAACTTTATTATCCCGTTAGGTCGCAGACCCGGGCCACGTCCCGCGGCCTTGCCGTTGCCGGTCCCAGCCAGCTACGGGGGTTGGCGATGGAGCACCCGCCCCACGATCGACTCTTCCAAGCCCAGGAGTCCTCTTTCCAGGTCCATTACCCCGCCTTTCTGACCTTTATAGTGACACCCCCCCGCCCCCCAACGAAGATTGTGCTGAGAACTTCATTCAATACTGCTCTTCAAGGTACTGGGGCAGGCAACGTGGGCAAGCCCAAACGGCCTTGGGTTAGGAGGCCAACGAAAGGTCTTTAAGTCCTAATATTAAAAGAGGAGGATGGGGGGCTTTTGGGAAGAATGCCCTTGAGGTAGAGAGCCAGAAGGCAAGTTCAAAATAAAGCACCCCGAACACACTGCAGAGATTGCTGCTCCCGAAGTTCTTTGCGCTGTGGTGGGAGGTAAGGCCAAGGCAGAGGGCTGCCACTGCCACTGTGCAGGTATGAGTGATACTAAGGAAGGCCCCAAAACTGTCACTCAGGCTCTGAGGGGTTGTCCAAGGCACAGCTGGAACTCCTCACAAAGGCCATGTGCGACCGAAACTTCATGCTGGTGGGTGGCTGGTGTCGGAGGAGCGACTCCCCCTGGTCTTGAGGTAGGGGCTCATCATAGATGGTAGAGATGAGCCCCAAGCCAGTTCCACGAGGCCTCTTCAGTTGCCCAAATGGCTGTAGCTTCTCTCCATGGTACCTGCATTAAAAAGGGCTCACAGTCAGAGGGCTGCTCTTAATAGGCTGGGAAAGGACAGAGAAGCAACTATTACATGTCTGGTTTGTCCCAAGACAGAGCCTTTAAATTTGGATCTTTGCTCTTCAGTCTCCTTATCTATTCACTGACGGTGCCAGCAACCTGGGGTCTCACATACTGTTTTCAGTTTAAATAGTACACAGAGTTTAGAACAACTGTCACCATTCTGTGACTTATAGGCACTCCCTAATGGCAATCACGAAGTCCAGACTCCTCAGACCAGGGGGTATGACTCCCCCAGGAGATCAGGGATCCTGTCAAGCCTTAGGGCTTGGTCTAAAAAAAGAAATAGTGCCACATCTACCTTTTCCTTCTAATTCTGCTTTGAAGTTCATTCCCTAGGAGTCTCTAGCACCCTTCCCAAAACCAGAGGGAAGGGGGAAACCAGGGTACAGATGAAAGGCTAGCTGGGGCCAAGTCCCTTGGTCATACTCACCCCAATCCACGCTTGCATCTAGGGTGCTGGCCATCACTATCCAGAGCCTCAGGTACCCCTGAGCACTGGCTCCCCAGACCCTGGCCCTCAGCCCAGCCCTGCTGTTCCATCACTTTGCGTCCAATGCCCTGTGCAGGGAAAAGAGAAGACTCAAGAGTATGGGATTCTTATGGGGAGTGGGGGGGTGGGGTGAGGAATGGGGATGGAGAAAAATAGGTCAACAGGCTAAGCACAGCACTTACCTTTGTATGGCGCTCAAAGGTGCCCACTTGGCATTTGATCACAGAGCCATCCTCCTGGCCATCACGAAGTCTCCGTTCCAGACGCATTTGGACAGAGTCTCGAGCATCCTTGTCTCCACCATCTGAGAAAGTAGAGCTCAGTTTGCAGAAGGGTCTCTCTCAGCAGAAAAGAGGAAAAATCAGGTTTCTAGGACCTCCTCACAAGATTTACACTTTCATCTTTAGGGTATTTTATTATTTATTTTTATTTTTTATTTATTTGAGAGAGAGAGAGGGAGAGAGCACGTGCAAGGGGGAGGGGCAGACTCCTTGCTGAGTGGGGAGCCTGGCTCCGGGCTGGATCCCAGGGCTCTGGAATCAAGACCTGAGCTGAAGGCAAATGCTCAAATAACTGAGCTACCAGGTGCCCCTCAGTTTTATTACTTTATTATTATTTCTCTTAGCCCAGACTTAGACTGGGCGCTGGCCAAGAATAGGAACCCTGCCTTTCCCATCTTACAAATGAGGAGATTGGTACAGAAAAGTCATACAGCCAAAAGGTGAGAAATGAAATTAGAACCCAGGAATTCAAAAAAAAAAAAATTAAAAAAAAAAAAAAAAAAAAAGAACCCAGGAATTCCCTTCCTACCACCACCCCCCCACCTAGGTCATTTTTGACTCCAGAATCTAAACTCTTAAAGCCTGAGCTCCTGACCCTCCCACTCTACCAGGGCCTGCCCATCAGAACCAGAGCTCTCTGAAGGCTGACTACATATCCTTCCTCCACAAACAAAGGAAAAAGACTCTGTCCACAACCAGCACTTAATGCACACAACTGGAGATGTTTTAAGAGAGGAACTCTCTCAGTGGGCTACCCCAAGGGAACTGGTTCCATCCCACCCTTTGCTAAGCAGGGTGTCACGTAAGTGTCACTGCAAGGCCAGGGCACCAGTTCTACCTCCCCGTACTGCAACCCCTGGCCCAGTACCTGTGTCGTAGTACACACTCATATCCACATCCCAGTCATCGGCTGTCTGTTCATCAAAGTCTGCAGATAAAAAGCACAGAGTAAGCTAAGGACTCGCAGAATTCAATCTAAACTTAGACATATGTTTTAGAACTTGGAGGTTTTTGTTTTTTTTTAAGATTTTATTTATTTATTCATGAGAGATACAGAAAGAGGCAGAGACACAGACAGAGGGAGAAGCAGGCTCCATGTAGGGAGCCTAATGTGGGACTTGATCCCAGGACCCTAGGATCATGCCCTGGGCTGAAGGCAGGCACTCAACCGCTGAGCCACCCAGACATCCCATCTTGGAGCTTTTGATTGTATTTTTAAGTCTCTTCGGGGGGGGAGGGGTGTCATTTTATTCTCCACTTCACTAACCTCCCGCCTCTAAAAACGATGACTGGTCTCTCATACACAATCAAGGTAAGCCTCTTCCATAGCCCTTTATATGGCCTCACTGCCAGAGAATCCACTGTGGAATGGAGAACCCTGACTAAAGGCACCAGGGATCACTCCTGCCCCTGCCTCTGGCCTTACCTCCTTCTTCCTCCTGCCAGAACTGGGCGTCTGTGTAAAACACCAGGCCGGACCCGCCCTTCTCCCACTTGAGCTCTATCTCCTCCTCGAAGAGCCGCTCAGTGGTACGCTCCTGTCCAGTCACATCCTCATGCAGGGCTTCATGCCGCTCCCACTCCTCACCCCGGTCGTCGTCCTTGGAGAAGGTGGGGAGAGGTGACTTGCCTGTCTAGCCTCCTGACCTCAGGCCTGCATGGAGGGCAGCTTGGCACAGGAGGCTTGTGAGACAGGCCCTCAGCTCCATTCTTCCAAATTTCTCTTAGAAGCAGGACATATTTGGTCCTCCAGGCCTTGCCCTACACATGTCTCCATCCCTTGTGCCTCAACATACTTGGCACCCTAACCCAAGCCCAACTTTTTTTTTTTAATTTTTTTTAAAATTTTTATTTATTTATGATAGTCACAGAGAGAGAGAGAGAGAGAGGCAGAGACACAGGCAGAGGGAGAAGCAGGCTCCATGCACCGGGAGCCCGATGTGGGATTCGATCCCGTGTCTCCATGATCGCGCCCTGGGCCAAAGGCAGGCGCCAAACCGCTGCGCCACCCAGGGATCCCTTTTTTTTTTTTTTAAGATGTATTTATTTTATTCAGAGAGAGAGAGAGAGAGAGAGAGAGAGAGAGGCAGAGACATAGGCAGAGGGAGGAGCAAGCTCCATGCAGGAAGCCCGATGTGGGACTCCATCCCGGGTCTCCAGGATCACACCCCGGGCTGCAGGCGGCGCTAAACCACTGTGCCACCAGGGCTGCCCCGACTTTTTGTTTTTTAAATTTTTATTTATTTATTCATGAGAGACACAGCTGGAGGGAGAGGCAGAGACATAGGCTGAGGGAGAAGCAGGCTCCCTGCAAGGAGCCTGATGTGGGACTCGATCTTGGATCCAGGGATCACACCCTGGGCCAAAGGCAGACGCTCAACCGCTGAGCCACCCAGGCATCCCCTGACTGACTCTTAACCGCTCTGCTTTTAGCCATGTTGTTTCCTGCTGGAAATATCTGCCCTCCACCACCATTTCTTCACCTGGCAAATCCTCATCCCTCAAGTTGTACAGTTCTACATGAAGCCCCCTTCACTGAGGCCCACAGCACTCCTCAGTATGGAGGAGTCGATACACACTGTTTAGGCCTCTATACATTACATCATAAAGAGGGGATAACAACTAATACCTATTGTCTACTGTGTATCAGACCCTTCTCATAACTTAGCTCCTTTGATCAGCCCATTAATGCTGTGAGGTAAGTATCATCATTCCCGTTCTACAGACGAGGAGACCTGGGTTCAGAGGAGTAAAGTGAATTGATCCACGATAATACATCAAGAGAGTGGCAGAGCCAGGGTTCAAACCCAGGTTGCCATGCCACACAGCCTTTCCAGATACTGCTTCTCTCTCTCTTCAGGGAGATTTTAGACTCTTTCAAAGCAGGAAATGGATCTTGGAGTGTCTCTGGAATCCTGCACTAGCCTGTGTGTACAAATGCTAGGAATTGCAGAATGATAGGATGACTCTGGACTTGAAATCTTGGGGGCACCTGTCCTAGTTAAACTCCCAGGAGGCCCCAGGTATCACTGCTGCAGAACAGCTGCTGGGGAAAAAGTCCAGATGGTACTACACTAAGGATGTGTAGCAGATGTTAACAACTCTGGGCTGGCAGCTTTTTTTTTTTTTAAGATTTATTTATTTATTCATGAGAGACAGACACAGGCAAAGGGAGAAGCAGGCTCCTCTCAGGGAGCCCAATGTGGGACTCGATCCCAGATCCCGGGATCA